TCAATTGGAACCCTATTTATTATTTAACTGGTAGTGCATAAGAATTGAAATGATGAATAATTGTATTATTGTCAGGAGATGATAGTTTTTTTCAAAAGAAAATATAAGAAACTTAAGAGAATGAATTTTATAAATTTCTTTTAAAAATGTTATGATCTATACAATATATTTTAAAACATAGTCCTGATATAAATAATGTATAAAGTAAGGTTTGATATTTTAACAAGTCAAAATGATAGCAAGAAGTGGTGATTGTTTTTTGAGGAATTAGAAATATAAGTACATAAGATAATTGACAAGTAGAAGTTGAAATCCAATGTATAAATTCTTTTCTTCCTAAATCCAACAGTGCCACTGCTCTCGCACTGTGCTTTAACTAGCAGGGTTTGGGGATGGCATGGTGCGTGCTCACTCGATGACTCAACGTGCGACTTGGCCTGCAGTTCTCTTTCGGGGAACAGCACACTCTGATTCAAATCCATTATTAAAAAGCAGATAACATGTGCACTTTCTGAAATGCCTGTGACTTCACTCTTTTGATTTTAAGTAATTATAAGAGAATGTTCGTATGTATTTGTTTTTCAACTGGCACTGCATTTTAAAACTGAGTATCTTCAGATAAGTGCATAGTTTCTTTTTGTTCATAAAGAATATCTCTGGTGTACATGCTCAAAAGTTTTGTGTTTTGTAACACAGTCACAGAGCAGTTTATAGCTGTGCTTACGATCAGAATTTCTATGTGTTCTCTCTGTGTGTAAAGAAGAGATTGTTGGATGTTAGTTTGGATTTTGAAATTAATCATTGGTAAGTAGGTCCTGTACCTTTCCACTGTGTTATTTTGTAACTTCTATCAGTTCTCAAGTAAAACTTTGAACTCAGTATTTTTCTAAACTTTGCAGCTCTAAGTAAATATGTTTTCATTGAAACTAGTTTCAGTTAACAATAAAATAGGGAACACAACACCCGCTTAAAAACACTTAAATTACAAAAAAAGAAAAGAAAAAACAGGTTAAATTACATGTACTTTGTCACTGTAAGTAAACAAGGTAAACATTGACATAACTTCAAATTATTCTTGGGTTGACAAAAATATGCAGTTTAAAATAAAATTCTGCTTTTGGTCAACATTCTGGATGCAACTCCAATTTTCTCATAAAATAAACATTTACAAAGTGTTTTGAATTTCACCGCATAATTCCTAGCCGGCAGAAATTACAGTGGTGTCTTTAAGGTTTGTTATGTCAGATCGATAGCCACAGTGCAGGCTGACACAGCCATCAGGATGCAACACTTTGCCTCTGCTTTGCCCTCACTGCTGTGATGTGAGGAAAAACTTCCTATGGGGGTCCTTGGGGAAAGCCTGACAAAGTGAAACTTTCGTGTTTCTTCGTTTAATAGCAAGAGTATTCTTTTCTGATAAAAGGCAAAAAGAGCTGAATTATTAGTCAAGAAAGCAAAATGTTCATTAAGGTAACTTTCACAAGCATTTTTTCAGTAAATGGGGGAATAGTTTTACATTCTGCATAATAAGTCGTTTGGAAGCACAAGATAAAAAATGAAAATGCCCCAACACAACATATTGTAAATTTTTTCTGATGCTTTTAAAAGTGCCTCTATCAATTCTACGGCTACAGTATTAAAGCTAAGTATTTGCTATTTTATTTAAACATTTTTGAAAACTGAACATTCTGGGGCTTTGCAGCATTATTAAGAAAAGCTGTCCATACTTTACCATGTTGTTACATGTGTTTATCTGCTGATTATAAAATGTGTTAAACAGCATTTTAAAAACAAAAAAAATGCAGAGCTGTGCGTTGATTAATTCAGTGAACAAAACATATGCTGTTGGTTCTGTTCTATGAAATTCATATATGATCGATAAAATCTTTTAAAAGAGCAACTTTGGCTTTTAGGCTTGCATTGCCGACCACGTTTATCGTCCCAGTTGACTCTGGGCTCAGACTGTGAACTCAGGCAAACAAAACTGCTTTCTGGCTCTGACAGCATGTCCTCCTAACACATCTTTATCTTCTCTCTAAAATCTCTTCAGGTTGGAAGCTGTGTATTGTGGTTGTTACCCACTTTGTCCCAAAGACTTGGTTTATCCTGAAATATTTCCAGGTAGCTGCTTTAATGTACTTTCATCTTTGTTGAGATTTAATACATGATTCATGCTAAATGAGAAAGTTTGAAAATAAACTTAGGCGGGAGCAATTGTTTATTTGGCAAGTCAACATGTTAGTGTTAAGGAAAATTTTATGTTTTAATACATTAGAGTAAGCTTATATTTACCATCTGTTCTTTTAAGATAACAAAAAAGCAAGTTTTCAAATAGCATTCTTCATTGTTAGCATACACATCCCATAATGATGGATTTTTATAAGTAGGTCAGTGTTGCTGCAATTGCTTACAGATTTTTTTAGTGATATACAAAGAGAAAAATCGAGGACTGAAAGTCACACCAAATTATTTAAACAATTGACTAGTTAATAATATGCAAGTGTTGTACAGGGTACATACGGCAATAGTACCAGTTCTTTGAAAAGAATCTCATCACTAAATATATCACATATGCATCGTGTTACGTTAGAATAATGTATTTTAATCACCCAAAGGAGATGTCTAAACAGCAAAACTACACAGTCTTATTTAGCATTAAACATCCTTGTGAGCTGAGGTAACCTTATAAAATCATGCTTAAATAATGTAAAACACGAGGCGGCACAGAGCAATATGCATTTTTAATTAGTAAAGTGACTAATATCGAGTGTGTGCTTTGAGGTTTTTGTTTCATTAAAAATGTATCTGTTTTTCCTGCAGCTGAATATCTGTATTCTACACCTGAACAGCTTTCAAAAAGGCTCCAGAATTTCTGCAAAAGACCTGATATTATAAGGAAACATCTCTATAAGGTAGTTACTGAGAAGAGATTTAGACAGTGTAAATGCCATATTGAAGTACAAAGAAAAAAATCTTAAAAAAAAAACATTTAATTAACATACTAATGTTTAAGGGAAACATGCTAGGGAGGGATATTAGTTGTTACACTAACAAGGATTAATTAAACTGGATGCCAGTTGTATTAACCTAGGTCTTATGAAATACGTGCACTTAATGCACGGTACATGCTTTTTTTAAATTTATTGTTTTCTAAGATGACTGTCCTTTACATTTAGCCCCGAGAGGCTTATAAAAATGAATCTGGATTAATGTAACTTATTAGTTTAAAAGGAAGTAAAGGAAAGATTCTACAATTAGACTAATGAGGATATAAGCCTTTCTCCCCATCATAGTGAAATCTTCAGTCCTCAAAAATTCAGGTGAATGACATTAGTGAAGTTTAGTGTTCATTTTTTAACTATTTTAAAGATGACTTTCAAGAATCAAATGCTTCCTTTGCCCAGATTAATAAAATGACACGAGAAATCCTCAGTTTGTTTTGGTTGAGACTGTCAGACTCCTCCCTGAATGGCAAAGGCAAAAAGGACATAATTTAAATAGCATCATCATTCAGTGCCTTTATTCATTATCCTTCTTCCCTTGTTTGAATCAAGAATTTTACATTGTTGAAATAACAACACAAAGAGGCCCTACTAAATGTCTAAGTAATTGAACTGGGATAAATCTGCTTTATGAGTTTTGAAGGTGGCTCTAGGCCATGAGTAATATACTTTTTTTTATATTCTTTGAATGTAGCATCTTCATTTTACATAAATTCAGTACAGTTTATAATCTAGCAGTTTTATAATCCAGCATATTTTAATTTTCCTATGTTAATATGTAACCTTCCTACATAAAATACAGTTTGCCTCCTTGTGTCTCTCCTCTCCCTTTCGTGACCTAAAATAAATATATAAATAGTGATACATCAAAACATGACTTTGTTTCTACAGGAAACAGTTAAACTTCAAGAAAAAGGGAGAGAACCAAAAATGCAATTTAACACCCAATTTCAAGCTCATTATCTTTCATTGTCTATTAACTTGGCAATGGTTCAGAAGGTAGCTCATAATAGTTTAAAATGCTGACTGAACAGTTCCAGCTTCAGTATTATTCCTTGAGTCAATATGGTTGGATCGTATACATAGGAGGCTTCACAGAGAAAACAGTCTTCCAAGGTTTATGTTCAGATTTCCTAATTTTTCAAGTTCAGTAGTGGTCTTCTTTGTATAAAATATTAATAAAGTTGTTTCCCATGTGACAGACTATCAAAATGTGCAGATTATAAAAATTGAAGAAATAGAATAATAAATATTAATACAAATGGATTCACTTTCTACATATGACACCAAGCTATTTACAGTGAGTTCACCATCAGATTATTGATTTTTTTTTTCTTTTCTGGTGATTTTTCTTTTACATTTATTGAGATACAATGATATACAGCTCTGTTTTGGGTATATAGCATGATGACTTATATATTGTGAAGTGATTACCACTATAAGTTTTTATCATCCATCATCTCATATAGATACAAAAACAGAAATAAACTTTTTTTTCTGTCATGAGAATGGTGAAGTACTGATAATTCTGTTTCTACCATCAAAATTTATCAGTTTTTAACTTTGCTTCAAGTTAGGCCTTATTAACCCTCTTATTTTGCATCTGCAGATCTTTAACCATTTCAAAAGCTACTGCAACAAGTTGGTTTTAGTTACAAAAGAAAACAGATCTCCAGATGAAATATTTAATACAGCTACTGCCATAACATAGCTGTAATTATTTATCTTACAAACAACTTCTGGGAAAACTCTGAAAGAATGTCAGCTTAATGGTATGCCGTTAATATACCAAGTTATTCCTCAGACAGCTTAAAAGACAACGTACACCTTAAACGTTATTCCATGTTACTACTTTTTACATATGCGTTTAGTCTGTACATCCTAAAATGCTCCATCTCAAAGTTTATAAGCCAGTATTTCACAAATAAGCATTTACAAGAATTTATATGTATAGTTCAATTTTGTTTTTTTCTACCATGGATTTTTTCTTATAAATCATTATGCATTTTCATATACATTCTCATTCACAGAACTTGATATTTATCTAAAAATTATTCTCAAAAGGTAATAAATTGGTCCAAGAACTATAAGTAATCAAGAGCTTGAGAATGCAATTGTTAGGCGAAACTGGAAAAATGACATAAAGTCCTACAGATTTAGTTTGGTTGTTGTAACAGGGTTTAGAGCCAAAAGAGAGAAAGAATGCCTTTGAAAACTTTATAATGAAGATATAATAAGTTACGGTATTTTTTCACATCTGTTTTATGAATATACACATTTTCAGGTAACATTTGCCTTTACTAAATACCAGAGAATTTTTCCCCCCAAGGTGGCTTTTTACCTGTTTTTCTTATACAATGGAAGAGTCTTTTGTGGGTACTGTGAAGAGAATGTTGAGGGTTTTTTCATTAGATTTGTTCCTTAGGACAGTGCTGCTCTGCTTTTATAAAACATATGCTTCTAAGATCTAAGAGGATAGAATGTCACTGAATTTTTTAATTTGCTCCTTTTACATTTTTACACCTTACTCTTTTTTTTTTGGTTAAAAGTTTACATTTTAAAATCATCTCAACGGCTTTTCATATGGAGTTCACTTTAGGATAGGATTTTTCATACGGATTCACACTTAGAAATGTAATGACTAGAATAAGGCGACTAACACTTGGCTTCTTCTCACATGAGACATTATAATTTCAATATGAGAGTTTGGGGGCTATAACTTGAAGCAGGATTTGAAACAGAATGCTAGTAACTGAAAAGCAGAAACAGAATCTCATACTTTTTTTTTCTTAAAGTGACTTTCTACTACAAACACTGTGCCCAAAACTTCTCACCTGAAATGGTTTCAAACTTGAAATGTTTAAATTCCTCATGTTCATGCAGTGTCCTCTCCCCACACCCTCTCTGTGTCTCACATTTTTCTGAAGAGAAATCCAGTGCATGCAGAAACTAAATGTTTCTTACTTATTTTTTAAATTTTAAAAAGCTAAAACTATTTCTTTAAAAGTTTACATCAGTCATTTACAAAGTCATTGTTTAGTCAGTGACTGCAGCTTTCTTGTACTTTCAGGACATTTCCTTTTCTCAGTAGGTGAGACACTTCAGCCACGTGCTTGTCACATAGACAAAACGGGAGCTCTTTATGACTCCCAAGCCTTACTTGAGCACAAGATTCTAGAAGTAATCATAAAATAATTAGGCAAGGGTTGACTTCTTACACTAACAACTGTTCTTCATTTTATAACTGAGCAAGTTTACTACCATGAAGTTGTATACATGTTTGCCTTAGTTTTACTATGAGAAATCACTTTCTGAATTCTCAACAATTTCCAACAATGATTTTAAATCAGTACTATGCTTTTAGAGAACTTCTGATCATTTTGTTTTAAAATGCTTTACAAAAAAAAAAAAATCTGCACATTTCCTTGTTACCAGTATTGAAAATAGCAAAAGAGTACAACTAGGGCAGTATAAGTTGGTACTTCCCAGACTGAAGTGTATTCCTTTTCAATACTTGTTCTATCCTGCATTACTTTTATTTACAAATTGAGCAATATTTTGTGTGTGGGAAAAAAAGAGGTGTCATTTTTTCTTGTGCCTTATAAAAGTGACCTGTAGTTTCTTAAGCTTTTTCAGGTGACAGCTGTTGATTTTTATTTTGTCCTGTTCAAATTCTTTAACAATCTAGAAATCTTTGTAATCTGCTGTTATTCAGAGAAGAGGAGAATTTCCAATTTCTGCCTAAAAGTGAATCTAAACAATAATTAAGCTTATCATTCAGACTCAGTGCCCAGAAAAGTTATTTGTGGTTGTCTTAATTGTATCAGCCATATCCACCCAAACCATAACCAAGCCATTTTAAGTTTCCCTCAAGAGACTGGGCACTTTATAGTCCCCTTTTAGTGTGAGCTTATACTGTACATGTGAACAAAGCGTTGCTCATTAATATTAACAGCCCTCCAAAGTCATTACGTTTTCCTTAAAAATGAAAACTTAAAAGCTTGTGACATTTTTAGAACTTCTAAACTCTCTCAACAGCACCAGCATAATTTAAGGCAAATTCTCAGTGTCAGTCTCCCTCCCTGCCCCTCCTTCCCTCCTCTTCCCTCTCTCATACTTCACTTCCTTCCTTGATTTTATTTGTATTGGTTTTCCTTTGATTTGTCTAAGTAAAACAAAACTAAAATTTCTTTAGCACAACAGATATACTTTGAGTGATTCAGATCAGTTAGGAACTTGGAATTCTTGTCCTTCTCTGCTACTCATTTGCGGCCTAGCTCTAGGTGAACTTCCTAACCTCTGTATGATTCATCTGTAAACTTGGAAGACTTTTTTCTTCTTAATTCTTAATAGCATTTTCCCCCTGAGGTATAGCTGTAATGAAACAATGAGAATAAACCTGTTAGTAAACTTGAAGAGCTTTGTAAATTGCATGTAATTGTAATGGCATTTCTCATGTCCCTTTACCACCTAAAAGTAAAATTCACAATAGCAAAAACATGTATATTTTGTGTTTATAAAAGTTAAAAGTTGGATGATCAACTCCTAATAGCTGTTATCCATAACATAAACCAGGAAGTATATGTGCAGCAGAGTGTACCCATTTGTAAAAAATAAACAAAAACAAAAGAAAAAACAAACAAAAAACTAGAGCTTTCTCCTGTGGTTGAAAATAGTTATACTTGAAACCAATCAGAAACTGGGATTTCCCGAGGTGATAAAACTCGAGAACCATTTACTTGGTGGCTTTTTGAAATTGAATTGATGTCAGTTATGCAAATTTGCAGTATGAATTGTCAGCATACTTCAGCCTTTCAGTCGTTAATGCCTCTTCATTGCTTTCTCTTCTCTCCCTTCCTCTTACAGGGTGACATGAATCCTTTTTCGTGGGCAGCCCTACATGGTAAATTCAGGTCTCTGCTTACAACAGAACCAAAGGAAGATTTGTGACAGATGGGGCTAAGTCACAAACTTGCAGCCTAAGGCAGAATCTGTAGAACTTTCCAGAGTGTGCCCATATTTACCTGATCAGAGAGAACAGAAAATCTGCAGAGGAAGCTGAGCCTGGCTGCTTGTCATAGCTGACACAGAGCCATCTGCCACAAACCTGTGGCGGCTTCAGATCTCCAATCCCTGCCACCACCCCAACTCAAATTAAATACAGATTCCTAAAGACGTTATGATGGTTACACATGTCCTCGGCATCACATGGAGGAGACTGTTCAAAAAAAATATGTGGCCTGTTGTATAACCGCACTCATGTATCCCATATGTGGTGCCACATTGAATTTCCGGTGGAATCCGTTTTTATCCTTTGTACTGGATGACATGGTGCCTGAATTCTTTCTCTTTGCCGACATGATGGCAGCCAAACTGCAGCTTCAAACACTCACACTTGGCTGGGTTTCTACCTGGGTTGCCAGGTTATCACCGGAGCCGTCTTGTGCCCTCAGAGGACCACAGGGTCTGAAAGGAGGACCAGAATGCTATGGGACTAATTGGGCAGCCATCTCAGAATTGTTTGTGGCGAAGGGCTGGTTTAGCACTTTCCTTTTAGCAAATTCATGACTCTCTGGCACAGGCATTTTTAAGTGAAGGTATTAATAAGGGGTCTGGCAGGTATTCCCATGATTCACAGAGTTACATTTGCATTTAATTTATCTTAAAGAAAGTTGCAAGATAAACAGCTCTAATTTGGACAAACATGGGAAATACCCTGAGTGGGGCCACCTTACCCATAAAATGAATACTGAGATACTTGTTTTTTTTCATGGGTAAAAATAGAGAAATCAAAATACTTCTAACAAAACCAGTACTTTTGATATAAGTATTTCTTGAAAATATTTGGATTCAGCTACAAATGTAACATTTTCAAGACAAATCACTTACATTCCAGTAGTCATGCTGCTGTATTTGTGGATGTAAAGATGTTTTGAACAGTTAGATTGTAAAATAAATTTTTAATAAAGTGCCCTCTGCCATTTTTAATTAAAATACTTCATTTACATGTAAGTGTGTACATCTATCGGTATGTTTCTCACTAAACACTTTCCTTGTGTCAAGAGACAACAAATACAATTGTTTCCTTTCCGGATGAACAAGGATCTGTTTTGCAAATGTTTGTAAGATATTATGACATTTCCAAGATTTTCTTTGCATTCTGGAAAGCAGGAGGTAAACATTTGTAGTCATTAAGGTAAAGTCTGTTGATAAACCATCTTCTGTTTACTGGCAGGTAAATTGTAACTTTCCTAGCTTTTGAAATCAGTTACTTCTATACACTGCAGCGTGAGGAGCAGCCAGGGAGAGGAGGGTAGACCAGGGCCCTGGGCCTTCTAGCAGGCACCCTGTGTAGAGGAGGTAATGGTTTAGATGCCCAGTAGGGCCCACTGGTAGCCAACACAATGGTAAGCACAAATAAAGGAAGGTCAGGGAGCCAGATGGAGACCTGGCCACAGAGGCACTTGCAGATCAAAGAAAGCAGTAGTTCAGGGTCCACGAGGCCAGGAATTTAAAAACAGAAGGAGTAAGAAACAGAAACGAGGTCATTTTTGCAGAAAGAGCCCTCTCCCTAACCAGTGTGAGAAGTATATGATGGGATATCACAGCACTGGGTTTGAGTCCTACTGTGTGGGGAAGTCACTGAACAAATTACCTCCTCACCTGCAAACTGAAGGGATCAGGGATTATTTCCAAGTTCCTGTGATCAAATACTGTGGAACTCATCAGCTATCGGGTGTGCTCCTTTTGAGTGCAAAATGAAGATATAAATGTGCATCAGAGATTCTTAGACACTTCTCCAGGGCAGTGTTTATCATCTAAGGAGATGAGTTACACTGGTAAGTTACACCGGTAAGTCAGGCATGAAGATGCCATGTCATTGATAAGGTCTCCTCAAAATAATATTATAATCTCACAGCCAAGAAACAGTGCTTAGTTTACTATGTTTTTCTATCCTGAAAATAATGGGCACATATTTTATAATGGCAAGATACTGTATTCATATCAACTATCTATGTTTTCTCACTAATTAATGGGAGGGGGCAGCTACCTTTCAAACATTTAAATATTTCCCTGATTTTGGCAAATACAGTGTTGAAAGTTACCTGTGTGTGGAATTTTTCTGCACTTGTAAACTTGAATTGAATTTTGTCATTAGCTGCGACCCAAGTTCCTTCCTGAATAAGAATGTACATTAAAGTCATCCCTTCTTAAAACCAACCAGTCAGCTTTGGCAGATGAGCAAGAAAATGTTTGTAAATGTGTTCTTAACATTGGAAAAGACAAATCTTTGGCGGGGGGGGGGAGGGGTGTGCCCACATGTGCTTCTCAACACCCATGATATAGTGGAATGAAGTGTTACTAAGCACGCTAATCCGTATTTTGTTAAAGTCAGAGAATAATTGAGAATACAAATTGACTCTTTTTGTTTCCCTTACTCTCAGTAGAGGGCTGAGGGTAGAGGGCTAAAATTAAATAGTTACTTTTAGATATCAGTCCTCTATTAATAGTTAATTGTTAAAATGTTAAATTTAACAATTTCATTTCAAAGACTAAAATGAATAAAATTGAATGTTTAAAACAAGACCAATGTTTTCAACAAGCACATTAAAAACAAGAATTTTTTGCCCTGGCTGGTGTGGCTCAGTGGATTGAGCGCTGGCCTTCAAACCACAGGGTGGCTGGTTCTATTCCCAGTCAGGGCACATGCTTGGGTTGCAGATCAGGTCCCCAGTAGGGGGCGCACAAGAGGCAAACACACATTGATGTTCCTCCCGTCCTCTCTGTCTAAAAATAAAATAAATAAAATTTTTTAAAAAATTAAATGGCAATAGTTTTTAAAAAACAAATATTTTTTTATCTCTGTTTATATTTATCAAGACACAATGTCCATGATGCTTGCCCTGAATTTATTTAATCTAGGTAATGCTCTAGCTAGGTGTTTCTATAATAAAATAACAGGGCACCTAGTTCTTAACCTGCTTATTATATACCATGTTGATCAGGAATAGGCCAAGAGACCTTTCTCAAAATGCTGCAGTTTTAATAAGCTCCCTTCAGTCATAGTCCAATGTAAGTGCCCTGCCCTTGCTCCAGCTCTTCAGTCACACCCCGTAAAGATGGCAGCAGGTTCAGTCAGCCAGTGGGGACTCTCAGCCGTGGAGGGCTGCAGAGATTCATTTCAACACCTTGAAATGCATCTGGAAGCAAAGATTTCATTTTATGTTGAAGGTGTTAATTATATTTGATATTTTTAAGAGAAAAATCTGTTTTTGAGAAAGCATCTGCTACCCAGAAATATTATGAGACACAAAAAAATTTCATTTAAGTTTCATACTTTCTGTGGGTGATAGAATCAGTTTTCAAATGATAGTCTGTGCTGTCTTTTAATGTTGACATATCCTCTGAGTCTCATTCCTCTATTGACTGCTGACAAGTATAGCCCTAAGTGCCTTTCTGTTTCGGTGGAAAACTGAGTGGGATTTAATATCAGATTTTATATTTAACAATAGAGAGAATATATTATAAACCACTGGTATGAGCATGTTTCATTTTAAAATTTGAATTGACATGCGGGACAAGTAATGTTTCTGTAACATGCCCACCCTTAAAATTATTCATTAAAATGTAACTGGAAAAGTTTTAAAACATGCAAACAATTCTGTGTGCTGCTCAAAGATGTGCACATGTGATTAAAGTGTAACCAGAAAACACACACACCAACACCAAAAACGCAATGTTATTTAAGTCAGAAGAGCAATGGTGGAAGAACCAACATGTAACCGGTAGAGGCACATTCACAGTACAGTAACTGGTCTATTTCTCAGGCTGGGCCATAATGCACATGGGCTTTTTCCTATTCTTTCTGTCTTTTTACATATCTGAAATGTTACTCTGGCTATACCTTTTCATCAGAGCTATCAATGCTTTTTTCCCCAGGGCTTCTGATCACCATTTGTAACTAAAGCCTGATTGTTTCTAATACAAGATGGGAAGTATCCACCTCCAAGAAAATGTTAAATGAGCTGGTCTTCCTATCTTGACAAACTCAGAGCTGTGTGGTAGAGCACAGAACTGCCTGATTTCCTACCCACTCTGCCCACTTCCTGTATTTGTTACCTGTCCCTTCTCCTCTTTAAGATACAGGAAACAAGTGTGGGCTCTGTACTTTGCAGTCCATCTCATGAAAGCAAGTCGTCCCTAGTATCTTCAGGATGCCTTAGTTGCACGGGATTTCAGGAACCAAGATCCTCACTACACCCTATGGCCCATTTTCCTAAATTGGAATTCAGGATCAGTGTCTTCAGGCGTCTTCCCATTGTCTATCATTACCCGATCGATGCTTTATTCCCTCCCATAGTTCTGTGGTAATGATGGTTAACCTTAGGACAGGTTCATAATTGTTCTTATAAACAGATATAAAGAATTGATGTTTCATGGGAGATAATCAAATGCTTCTATTGGTGTTGTATCAGTTACTGCATTTATTTGGCAGACTTAAGGTGGGGTGCTAGAAGATGCAACTGCTACTAAGAATACTTCCGTAACACATTTCTTGGAATTGGAAGTCCTTTATATATGAAAATTTAACATTTCCATTATTACTTCACAAATGAGGAAATTAAGGCATTAGATTAATGGCATATTAGGAGCCACAATGTGTAACAGAAACAAAGATGTTTTGAATAAACCTTTCCGTTCATGACTCAGTGGGACCCCTAGTTTCCTTCTATTTCTCTTCCCACCATGCAAGAGAGTATAAAGAGCAGTAAGGGTTGTTTCATTGACCGCTTCAGTTAAAGGGGTCATGAAAGATCATGTAGGGTAGCCAGTACTTTAAGTGTTTTTTATTATTATTATTAAACCACTCCCTGTAATCTTACAGTCTGCTTGTTTATACACTTAGGTAACTTACCTGGCTCTTCTGGTAAGCATTTATGTCTGGTAACACCCACATTATAGATACAGGGAAACTGAAGCTGCGTTGCTGTGGGTCCCTGTGGTGGTAGAGGCAGGTCTAGAACCCAGGACTCTTTAAGGAGACTGTGGTTAGTTCAGTTGGTCAAAGCCATTTCTTAAAGGAGGAGAAAGGGGAAAATATTTCCATCTTCTCTTTTTGCCTTCTGCTGCTTCTCTGTTAGAAGAAACATGGATTAATTAGTTGCTAGTAGCCTACTGTAGATATAGTTCATATTACTCCTGGTTGCATTTATATTCTAAGTGACCATAAGAAGGAGAATGCAAAAGAATTGATTCCTGGTACTAAAATTTCAGGCTCTGTGGCACCTGCGATATTTCTGAACAGCTGAGTCTTCTCTATTGCCTTTCCTATCATATGGCGACAAAACTGTTTATCCACGTAGGAATAAGCTGGTTCTTTATCCATAAAGCGGCCCCCATGATCCTGCCTGGTGTAGGGGCCTAGGGCAGAGGGAGCAGGTGGCGTCAGCAGCAGAAGCACCTTTAATTTCACAGCACAGGACCTGTTCCCTCTCATCCCAAACCAATAACCCAGAAATTACATCCTGAAACTTACTTGCCTGAAAAGAAAAGGAAGGGGAGGGATAAATTAAAAAGAAGATACTTCTAATGTGGTATTAGACTGTAATTCATAGGGAAATTTATGCCTGAGATATGAATTTCTGAAAATATGGGTTTTTTAAAGGGAAACACTGACACATCCTTAATTATAGAGTAATAAATACCAATGGTATATTATCTTCTGATATTTCCTTACACAGATATCAAAGCATGCAGCTGTTTTTGAAAACTGATAATCAAGTATAATGTAAGTGTATTACATCTTGCACTTACAACAAGCCCTTCAACTAAGCAGTTTCATGGAGCACTTAACAGTGAGAAACAGAGCTGCTTATAGTAGAAACCTAACTGAACAAATTAGCCTTGAATTGTAACATAAGAATCCTAGTCAAACCAAAATGCCTGTCCTTGCCAGGAAAGGCATTCCAA